CTCCTGGTCTGAGGGAGGAGGGCTGGGGGTCAGGACTCCTGGTCTGAGGGAGGAGGGCTGGGGGTCAGGACTCAGGTGCCGGATTGCCCTCCCCAGGGGCGGGAAACACGAGCCGGACCCCTGCCTGGAACCAGCCCCAGGCCGCCGGGTAGCCATGCGCAGCCTTCCATCCAACGGAGAGCTGGACCCGGATGTCCTGGAGAGCATGGCGTCGCTGGGCTGCTTCAGGGACCGGGAGCGGCTGCACCGCGAGCTGAGGAGCGAGGAGTAAGACCCCCCCCAAACCCAGCCCGATCCTGCACCGCCCTCGGGCCGCCGGCAGAGGGCGCACAGGGACCTTTGCGCACGCGCAGACGCGTCCCGGCCGCCTGCTCGAGGCCGCTTGGTGGGCGGGGCTTACGATTCCCGCGTGGCGTCGTTACGGGATGCAGCCACTAGGGGGCGACAGGAGCCGCGGGGAAAGAGGAAGAATGGTCCACTGTTCTGGAATAGATGCCCTGACCCACACAAAGGCAGCCTAAGAATCAAACAGTAATATATTGGGGGGCGGTGTCACACAACCGCCCTGGTTATGCAGCAATTAAGCACTCATTTACCAATCTGGGGGTCGTTCAGACCCAACCCAGAAAACCCCATAGGACAGGTCTACTCTGCCGGTTAGCGTCTCTAGAGTTTGGAACAGACTCCACGCCACACACTAGCAGTAACGGCATTTCTGGAAGGTCACTGGTCCCCTGTGGGACATCATCATACGTGGTAACGTAGGAGGACGGTGAAAAAGAGGAACACGTTCCACTGATGGATTGGCACAGTGGCTGCACGTATGAGCTCGAACATAAGACCACTGTGAGGGAGGACCGGGCACTTTCATGCTGTTGTACAGAGGGTCGCCAGGAGTTGCCACCTGTGTGACGCTGGGTGGATTACCTTGGTACCCTCCTCGAAAGTGGTGCGTAATAAGAGGACCAAGTTCATAAAGTTGTTCAGGGAAATTAAATGAATGAGCTCATGGTGAGTAGTTAGAAGATACTTCAGGGACCTCTGGGGGCATAATGGTTATTTGTTGGGCTGCTAACCATAAGGTCAGCAGTTCGGAACCACCAGCCGCTCTATAGCAGAAAAACTGGGGGGCTCTTTTTTGGCTTTTCTTTTCCCTTTTTTAAAAAAATTAAAAGATCATTTTGTTGGGGCTCTTATAACAATCCACACGTCAATTTTATCAAGCATATTTGTCTATATGTTGCCATTATTTTTTTTCAACATTTACTTTCTATTGAGCCCCTAAGGGGGGCTCTTTACTACTACAGAGATTTATACTCTGAAACCACTGGGAGCAGCTGTGCCCTGTCCCGTAGGGTGGCTGTGGGTCGAAGTGGACTTGACAGCAGTGAGTTTGGTTTTTGAGTTGTTCAGGATTAAGTGCTCAGATGTTAGGGCCTGTTATTTTAGTGACTAAAACGAGACAAAAGAAGCCAAAGAAATGGATGTCTTGAAAAACAAACGAGACACTGTGTGAAGTGGGGCCTGCGCGAGCTATGGCAGGTGGGAGTGAGACCCCCTAGTACGTGACTGCAGTCTTGTCCTCCCCCACCCCCACCCCCCACCCCATTCGTCTCAGGGAGAACCAAGAAAAGATGATCTACTATCTGCTCTTGGACCGGAAGGAGCGGTATCCCAGCTGCGAGGACCAGGACCTGCCTCCACGCAACGACGTTGGTGAGAAGGCCCAGAGCCCGCGCTCCAGGCAGGCGATACAAGCCCCGGGCTGGGTTTTAGATTCTTAGGCCCTGACTGGTGTCCTGGTTGGGTGATGATTACAAGCTCGACTGCTAAGTGAAGGGTCGGCCTGGTGAGCTCACCAACCGTTCGGAGGGAGAAGAGACCTGCTCCCACGAGGACCACAACCTGTAAAACCCCTATGGGCAGGCAGAAGTCAAAACGGAATCCGCCGAATTGTCCTCAGTCGCAACAGGGAGGGCCTTGTGCTGTGGCTCTTGTCCAAGCCCACCCCACGCTCGGTCTCCGTTTCCCTGCCCTCAGTCCCCACTGCCCTCCCCCCTTGAGACCTAAGATAAGAGGCAGCTGGCCAGTGTCACCAGCGAACTGAAAACTCCCCCCTTTGCAGACCCACCCCGGAAGCGAGTGGACTCACCCATGCTGAGCCGGCACGGGAAACGGCGGCCAGAGCGGAAGTCCATGGAGGTCCTGAGCATCACCGATGCTGGAGGCGGGGGCTCCCCAGTGCCCACTCGACGGGCCTTGGAGATGGCCCAGCATAGCCAGAGGTGGGAACCCCTGTCCCCCAGGGGGAGTCAGGAGGTCCAGGTGTGGGGGGCGTGGGGTGGGGTGGGGGATGACATCATTTCCTCCCCTGGAAGCGCTGTGGAAGGGGGAGGCCACCTGAACCTTTGCAGCCTTCGCACCTGATGGTTGCTTTGCATTTTCACCAGATCACGTAGCGTCAGTGGAGCATCCACCGGGTTGTCATCCAGTCCCCTGAGCAGCCCACGGGTAAGGCCAGGTCCCTGGTGGCTTTACAGGGTGAGCGCTCTGCGGAGGAGCCGGGGGTGAGGGTTGGGGGGGCAGGTGGGCAATGGGCGACGTGCTGAGCTGCTAATCAATCACCAAGTGGGCGATTTAAACTCACCAGCCGCTTCGAAGGAGACGTTGAGGCTGTGAGCTCCCGTAAAGATGTAGCCTTGGAAGCCCCGTGGAACACTTCAGCTCTGCCCTGTAGCGTCGCTGGGGAGAGCCTTGAGATGGGTTCTGTGTGTCTGGTTGGGTTTGAAGCGCTCTGCTGCTGACCACAAGGTTGGCAGTTAAAGTTCACCCACCGGTGCCTCGGAACAAAGGCCTGGTGATCTATTCGCCCTGCCAAAAAAATCCATTTATAAAAGCCTGTGTGGTGCAGCTCTATTCTGACGCAGATGTGGGGTCACCCGGCTTCGGAATCAACTCATTGGCAACTTTTTTTCTAAAGTGGGTAAAGAGGCTGAAGCAAAGATGGAGAAATTAAAACTACAATTCCCATGCGGCCATGAAACAGTGCCCCCCCTTCTCTGTAAGAACAAAGACCCAAAAGCTCATATGTATTTTTCAAGTCAAGTGGTTCCTATCCCTCCTCTGTAGGATTGGGATTTCAGAGTGTCTGAAGGGTTCATGTACTTATTTAACAAACGTTAATTGAACGACTCTTTTGTACCCGTTGTTAGCTGGGGGGGAGGGGGGGAGTAATTGGACTACAAATCCCAGAGTGCTCTGGGGCGGCTTCCATGCACACGTGCAGCAGAGGCCCCTGGAACTCCTGGGAGTTGTCCACTCCTGTCTGCATTCGTCCACAGAGTCCAGTCTTCTCCTTCTCGCCCGAACCCGGCGCTGGAGATGAAGCCCGGGGCGGGGGCTCCCCGACTTCCAAAACACAGACGCTGCCTTCTCGGGGTCCCAGGGGTGGGGGCACCGGGGAGCAGCCCCCGCCCCCAAGTGCCCGCTCCACACCCCTGCCTGGTCCGCCAGGCTCACCACGTTCCTCTGGAGGGACCCCCTTGCACTCGCCCCTGCACACGCCCCGGGCCAGCCCCACAGGGACCCCGGGGACAACACCACCCCCAAGTCCAGGTGGTGGCGTTGGGGGCGCCGCCTGGAGGAGTCGTCTTAACTCCATCCGCAACAGTTTCCTGGGCTCCCCTCGCTTTCACCGGCGCAAGATGCAAGGTGCGCAGGGTCTGGGGGCCACGCCTGGGGCCCTCCGGGAGGAAGAGGCTGGCAGCCTGGATTCCCTAGTCCTGAAGGCGTTAGAGCGCTTGGCCGCTAAACGAAAGAAAACTTAGTGGTTAGAAGCCCCCGACCCTTCCGAGGGGAGAGTCACTTGGCAGTTGACGTCCATGAAAGACCCACAGCCGCTGGGGAATATTCGGCCCCAGAGACCCTATGGAACAGTTCTGCTCTGGCCTAGGGGGTGGCTGTGCAAGCTAAGACTCAGGTGCTATGTGGGAGGATGTGGAAATCTGGAAGTGACCCCTCTGTACTGCAGGTCATCCT